CCGGTCGGTTCGCGCCCGGCCAATTGCCGTGTTCTGATTTATTTATCTTCCACTTGAAAACTCTAAAATCTGAAAACTCTGCTAAAAAAGCTGAAATCAAGGTGTAAGGCTTGGTTAATCTAATTCTCAATTGTAAAACCTTACACTGGTATTCCCACACATTCTCCAGGTCCCAAATTTCTTCATTCTGTGCTTCTTGAAGGACATCCACATCCCAAGCAATATTCCTTAAACTGCCATAAATTTTTTTTTAGTTATTTCAGGATGATGAGAAGTTCTTCAAAGTTGGTTATTTCAGGGTGGGCTAATTTAGGTCAGTTTAGGGTAATTTAGAATAGATTAAATAAATGTGTACTTCTTTTTTAAATTTCTTTCGACTGAAACCTCAACATGAGTTTTTCTAAAATTGGTTTAGATGACCTCAAGAAACCAATAAGCATGAAAGAATAACCAAATGAAGAGGAGGCTTGTAGAAAAAAAGCAAACCACCAGACATTCAGAAATACAAATTCAAAACAAATTTGAAAATAATGAAATTATAAATTTTTTAATTCAAGTAAAATTTTGTCTGATATGTTTGTATGTGATGGATTTTTTCTTGTGAATTTTGCTGAGACAAAACAGAATGATTATGTAATCCAGCTGCATACACCAAAAATCATTCCTACCAGCATTTGCACTGTACCCCCCTCCATCTCAATATTGTTGTCTTCCATCTTTCAATTTTTCTTGAATTAAGTTCTGTACAAGAATGTGTGGAAATTCATTTTGCATGTGATCAAAAATTGAAAGATGGAAGACAACAATATTGAGATGGAGGGGAGTACAGTGCAAATGCTGGTAGGAATGATTTTTGGTGTAGGCAGCTGGATTACATAATCATTCTGTTTTGTCTCAGCAAAATTCACAAGAATAAAGCCATCACATGCAAACATATCAACATATCTTTCAATTTTTGATCACATGCTAAATGAATTTCCACACATTCTTGTACAGAACTTAATTCAAGAAAAATTGAAAGAAACCTGTATATCTTAGCCAAAACTAATCAACTCAACCAAAATTAACCTACAGTATCTAAATATCATCTGAATTGAATTAACTGATCCCAACCAACTTTGAACAATATCCTCCTGAAAGCTGAAAGCCATGATTGAAATTATTTGTACCATTTAAAGATGGGAAGAATGAGAGATTTATGTTGCCACAAAACGAAGAATGAAGAGTCATCTTCGCCGAGAGCAGGATGGGGAGGGATAGAGGTTGAAACGTTTTTTTTTTATTTATCAAATACACTTCCCTCATTAAACCGCCAACCCCGTTAAACCGCCAAAATTCTGCTGCACAAACGTTGGCGGTTTAACGGGGTTTGACTGTATATGCTTGTCAGCCAGCCTAGATTCCATTGAGGTACAGTATAACCGAATTTATTTGAGTACCAGGCGCACCTTTTTTTCTTAGAATTGAGAAGGCATCATAGTCGGATATACTTGTACATTAAAAAACAGTTTTAAAGGTTTATGTGTGAATTATATATTGATTATAATGGGATATGTAGGACCAATTTGACAGAGAAACGTATTCCAATGGAAATAATTGAATTCAGGATAAATTGGTGTCTAAATTCAAATTAGTTTTTATTTATTTATAAAATACTGTAACGCAGTTTTAGAGTCATTAAAAACTGGGTGCGCATCTTACTCGCGGGACTACTGTTTTACAATTTTTTCTTACTGAAATAAATAAGCCCGCTTACTTGAATATAGGGCGCTTAAGTGTACGAGGGTTGGTTTATACAAGATGATAAACTGCCACTTTGCCGTCATTGGAGGAGGATGCAATTTTCTTTCTTTTGCTCTTTAACCCTTCATTGGTGTCTAATAAATTTTTCATGGATTACTCAGCTACAGAAGGGAACAAGAAAGAGATGGATCACAGTGAATCCCCTCCACTGAAGTGAAGTTTAATTGATCAAGAGCTGCTGAATGTGCACTTATGCATGCTCCATGACTTTGGGGATTATGTGGTAAACTTCACTTCAGTGCACTTCAGTGGGGGTGGTGTAGTTTCTAATTGCCCGAGCAGTAGCTCACGCCAGCAAATCTCCACGCCACTGCACCCCCCCCCTATTCTCATCACTCTCTCCTTTATGCACACTATAGTGACACACTTGAGGCTTGGAGTTTACAGTGCACTGAGCAGTGTCACAGGAAAACTCCTATTTGCCAGGTCTAAAGGTTTCTCATTACAAAGAAAATTTCATGTTTTGTCTGTAAACTGTCTTTCAATTAAAATTCAAAATGCTGGTCCAGTTCACTGATTCAGTTTTGCAATAGCTCATTACAGAAAAATTGGTGATAGTGGAGGGGATTCACTGTGATCCAGGTCTTTTTCTTGTTTCCTTCTGTAGCTGAATATAGTTAATGAAACATTTATTATAGACACCAATGAAGAATTGAAGAGCAAAAGAAAAAAAATTCATCCGCCTCCAATGACAGCAAGTGCCAGTTTATCATCCTTCACAAACCAACCCTCGTATACTCGAGTATAAATACTGTACAGTACAGTACAGTACAGTATATAGACATGCCAGTACAGTATATATAGACATACCGCAGCCGCAGTATTGTCCAGCTGAAGTGGACGCGCAGACACAGAGCCGGACTGTGGAAGCATGCTGTTGCCCGGGCCAGGTGTGTTGGCAGTCGGGAGGTGGTGGTAGGACGGCACTGGCTGGCGCTGCTGCTGTTGAGGGTGGGCATACGCGAGCAGGGCGTGGTGCCCGAGCGCCGCCGCGGCTGCTGCAGCCGCCGCCGCCCCGGTCTGGTAACCACTGTACATTTGCTGATGGTGCTGCACGTGATGAGTGCCGCTCGGCACTGCGGCGTAGGCAGCCATGGGCTCCATCTGGTAATTGCCATTTGCGTACGTCGCTGCAAATACATACCAGCAAGTTTTTTTTCTTTCAAGGTACTGCAGTGAGACCCCCACATGCAGACATCTCAACATGCAGACAATTCGACATATGGGGACAACTTATTTCTCAATAAAAAAGGTATAAAAATGGCCAAAAATATGGACACCGAGTCACTGACTCAACATGAGGACATTGCATGATAAAATTGCCGATGAATTTCAGGAAAATTGATTTTCATTAGGCTTAATTGCAAGAAACAGATATTTCCAAGCCTAGATCAATGCAAGAAAAATTCCTTGGTATTTCTCCCACCATTTTCCCATCTATTGAGCTAATTTAAAAAATTACCTACAGCATAGGCATATGGGGACTTCCTTCTCTCTTTGTGAATTTAATGATATTTTTTCAGATGCCAACATTTCAACGATGTAAACCCGCTCTCTCCCTTTCGATTTTTTGAATAAAAAAAAACAAGCGTTTGATACACAAAACATATGATACTGTTCCAGACGATTAAAATTTAAAAATTCAGAAAATACCCCAACGATCCAACTTCAATTTTATACGATTGTGGCGTCAGAAAACATACGGTGCTGAGACTGTTGATCATTGCCCGGCGGGGAATTCGTCGACGTCCCTGACGACGGCGGGGACGCCGTCTGTGATGCCGCCACCATGTACGACATTTGGGCCAGTCGCGGCGGCACAAAGGCAGACACAGTCTGCAAGGCCAGGTGCTGTTGTTGTTGTTGTTGTTGCTGCTGATGCTGCTGCTGCTGTTGTTGTTGCTGTTGTTGCTGCTCATCTAGCCACGCCCCCGCTGCTGCCATTGGATGGTACGACGTCTGCTGGGCATACATGGCTGCTGCTGCTGCTGAAGAGTCCATGTACTGCTGTTCGTGCGACAAAGTGGACGCTGACATTTACAGACATCACCAAAATGGTTAACGGTGACTGACAATTTGAAGCAGGAAATTACAAAAAGGACTCGGATTTTACAGCCCCAATGAACATAAAAAAAAACTATGAAATCCATCAACAGGACTGTATTTAATTCAGTATACATAGATATATATACATATATATATACAGTGAGACATACAGTGAGCATTACATAATTGGTGCATCAAGAGTGTCCCTAAGTCGAGTCTTGTTTTCCCGTAGACTTACATTATATAATTTTTAATTGGTGTTTTAGGAGAGAAATATTCTTCCAAATTCCCTGAAAAAATGGGAAACCTAACACTAACTAACTACAGTTTCTTCTTTGCGGGAGTCGAAGACTTCTTCGCGGTGTTCCTCCACACGTCTTCGGGAGAGTTTATTTCTATTTTTTGTCGCATGTACGGATGGTGGTTACACGACGAGTTCTATGTCGTTTGTTTTCCGTGGACCGAAGTGAGAGTGGAGACTATGTTATATATATATATGTATAAGGTGATTCAATTACTGAACTGAGCAGTATAGAGTTAAAGGCTTAATAAATTTGAAAATATTATGGAAACAATTTGTAATTTATATACTATATATATATATATATATATATACATATATATATATAGCACTATATACTGCACTTGAAACTCACCTGCTGGGCAGCGCAGCAACTGTATTGTGCAGCAGATGTAGCAGCAGCAGCTGCTGCTGCTGCAGCGGCTGCAGCAGCCAAATCTGCCCCAGATTGCACGGGCTGCACATGAGGCAATGGTGGAGGTGTGGGCATCATGAGCTGCCACTGGTGCGGGTGCGGGTGCACAATGTGCTGCGACATGGCCGCAGACTGGTGTCCCGCGGGGGCAATCGGCTGCAGGTGGGTCACCACCTGCTGGGCAGGGCCCAGGGCCACGGCCTGCGGACCAGCCGTGGCTGCGATCACCTGAGGTGGGTTCATCTTGTCGAACTTGTAAATGCTGCCATCTGTATTCACCAGCGGCTTTCCGGTCTGCAATTCATTCAGAATCAGGATATATAGATGCATCAAGACATGGAAAAATAAAGGCAAGGTCAGTTCCAGGTACTGTGGTTTAGAGAGAAGCAGGGAAGCAGTCTTGGATGATGAGTTACTGCACAATTGACCCTTTGTTGTTGAATAACTTGATACAATGGGTTACACGTTTCCGCGCGGATACGAAATGGTATTCTGAACACCAGGGGATTCTATAAAAGCCTTTTTTATTTCTCATTTCTACTAGTTCCAATAAGAGGCTAGGCAGACACCTTCTCAATGTCATCACCACCAATCTGTGCACACTTCTCAGCCCCTTTGATCCATGTGTTGAAACAGGCCTTGAAAATGTTGTTCAATTTTGAAGTTACTCCATAGCAGTAACAACCTGATCCGCGGGGAACCGTGTAACCCCTGGCATATATGCTCCAGAACTAAGAGGAAGCTTGTTATCAACTGCATGGGCCTGATTATCCCATAGACTTCAATCTGGATTTTAATTTGTTCTTTCTAATCATTGAACCATGCGGCTGAAATTGGAAAAATTGGTGATAAACAGCTAATGCAATACTAGCTTCTTGGGCTGGTATAATCCTATAGTTCCAGCCTTCTTTATAAAAAATATATCATTTTTTAATCTACACAATAAAAGTCAAATTTCCTTTGTTCAAACTGATGATTCAACACTTATGGAGTCATTATTTCCCTTTCAGTTCATATTCAAAATTTTAGAACAGAATCCATTAAACCTTTTTTTTGTGGGAAACGTAGAAACGAATCAGTTTATCAACAAAGCTATAGCTGGGATTTGAAAACTGTTGCTTGGTGAATTTAGATAAATTATTAGCATCATTTTTTTTCGTCAGCAATTTTCCGGATGAAAGATACCCACAACTACGAACTTCAACACGGAAATATGAAGGCTGTTAAATAATACAGCTGATGAGAATTATTGAGGACCCATGCTTCCATGGGCTAGCTATTAATCTCAGAATAATACCACGAACAATTACGATATGTCCATTCGGAATATGTTGAAGCCAAATTATATTTTCCCTCCGAGGTCTTCTCAATTATTCTACACAAGTTATCATATCGCACTTTTTAAAAATGAATTTCCGAAATTATTTGTTCTTCATCATCTGGGTTTTCAGAAATGTTTTGTCAGCAAATTTCTGGATGGAAGATACCCACAACTACGAATTTCAACACGGAAATATGAAGGCTGTTGAATAATACAGCTGATGATAATTATTGAGGACCCATGCTTCCATGGGCTAGCTATTAATCTCAGAAAAATGTCACGAGCAATTACGATATGTCCATTCGGAATATGTTGAAGCCAAATTATATTTTCCCTCGGAGGTCTTCTCAATTATTCTACACAAGTTACCATATCGCACTTTTTAAAAATGAATTTCCGAAATTATTTGATCTTCATCATCTGGGTTTTCAGAAATGATAACACATGCAATAAAGAGACCACTGTGCTAGACCCAAGTGGGGAAATTGGTGCACACTGGGGATTTGTTTGTAATTTTACACATCAGTGACCCTGCTGTGCACCTGACGTGTAACAAAGTTCTTCTGTTGCACATGCATATCCCCAATGTGCACCAATTGTGTGTTCACACCAGGATTACTCAGGGTCACATTTGTGAACAAATAAGTTACACCAAGGTTACAGTTGGTGCATTTGTGTGACGTTCCTGTTACAGTATTTCACATTTGTGCACCAAGTGTAACCATGGAATGATAGCAAAATTTCCTCTACAGAAGTGCACGCTTGTAACCCCAGGATATCCCATATGCACCAGTTGTGACCCTGGTGTGCACAAACTGTGGGGTCCCAGCAAAAATAGCTCCCCACTGGGGTGGTTATAATCCACCCACAATAAATTAGGACAATTTTGTGGTCTTGTCTGCTGCAGAACTTTTTGACTAGCCCTCTGATGGTTCTTTCTCAGTGCACGGCAGAATAGGGATTTTTCCAGGGGGCACTGCATTTCAGTTCCACCCAATGTTACTGAAATGTGCCCAGGTTGAGGAGTCCTAAGTCAGGAAAAATCCAAAAGGCAAATTTTCTTTTGTTTGCAAGATTTTCCTATGCCAGGAATGCAGGAAAAAATGACACCCAATGAGGGATTTTTGTTTTAATATTTTCATTGAAAATTTTCTGCAGGATTAAAAATAACCTTGGACTTTTTCCCGACTTGGGCCTTGGTACAAAAAAGGGTTTTTTTTTCATTCCCAGTGCCCAGTGGTACACAATTTTGCAAAAATATTTCAACTTTGCCAAACGAGGGCTATATAAAGGGATGACACAGGTTACAGCACGAGTCATGAATTAATTTTCAAAAAAAACATAAAATCGAGTTTTCTGATTTTGAAAAAGGAAGAAAGAGAGAAAACTGAGGATATTTCCAAATTACCTGAGGGTTGATGAGAATAGCACCCGCGGGGACCTCGTCCAAGGAGGACAGCGCCCACAAGACGCCGGTCCATTGGCTCACCAGGTTGTTGGCGGTGTTGGTGCTGGTAACAATCACCCCGGGCAAGACAACGGGTTGCGTCTGACTGTTGCCGTCCAGGTCGGGGTCCGGAATACCCATGGCCCGGGCCACTTCCGGCTCGTACTCGTCCTCCTCTCCTGCCTGCGGCCCGGGCGTCTCGTGGATGCACTCGGGGATGTCGGGACTAGGACCCTGACTCGACTTTTACACAAAGACAGGTTGAAATCAAAGGCAGGTCAAAATCAAATGATCATATCGACAATTTCCCGCGTGAATGTTTATTTGTTTTACTTTGCGATTTTACTAGCAGAGCTTCGATCGAACAAAAGAGATCAGCAACTGGTGCGAATGAGAGGCAATGTCTATAAGGCGATTTATATATTTTATAATGTTTTTCAACTTCATCCTAATGAATACGAAAATTCGACATTGAGCAAATGTTTGCATGAACTAACTTATTTAAAAGCAAGATAATTTCATTTTTCTATTGCAGAAAACAAAAAGAATTAGGATAACACCCTTCAGATTGGATACATCATCTATAGATATGAAGAAAACCTAAAACCGTTTTTACTGAAGTATCATGCGGACCTTTTTTCTAAAATTTCAGAAGAAAAAAAGGGGTGCGCATTATAAGCAGGTACAAATTTTTCAAGAAGTTTTAGGAAGTTATGTGTGCATTATACTTTATTATAATGGATAAATTTGGAACAAATGTAACAAGAAAACTTTTTTTTACTCAAAAATTTGAAAATTGATCAGATTTTTGTTTAATTCATGTCTAAAGTCAAATTTTTTGTTCTTATTTTTGAAATTGTGTAGTTTCAGAGTCACTAAAAATTAGGGAGCGCATCTTACTCAGGGATAAGATTTTAGCAAAATTTCCAACTGAAAAATACTTGTGCAAGCCTTACTTGACTGCACATGGTACTCGAGTAAATAAAGTAATTAGAACCCATAAGATTTCTGCACAAATGCAGGTTATACAGTATAGTCCCAAATAGAAAAACTGCCGAAGTTAAAAATTGTTTATGGAGTACCTTGCAAAAATCAAACTTCGAGCAGTTCAACTGCACACAATCCAAAAATTCAGGAGCATATAAAGCTTGCAAAGTATAGAAATTCAGCGTTCCAAAAATTGTTTGGGCTTGCAGACCAGCAAATTTTAGTAACATCCTTTGCGGACTGGCATATTTTCATAACATTTTCCATGCTGGACCAGCAACATTCCATCCAATTTTTGATGATCAGCAGAAAATCTTATAATACCTCCCATAAAGTCCTCAGAACAAAAGCAGCTGTAAAGTGGAAATGTGTTTAAAAAATAAGGGATGCCAGGCTTGAAGAAAGGTCTCATCTTGGGTTGAACACTCAAAATAAAATATTTCAGCAGGTGAAAATATGTCTGAATGATCATCAGGAGAAAAACCAACAATTTATCTAATCAAGTATCAAAATAGTGTCTGCTTCTTTGAGAAAAAAAATTGAGTCAAGACCCAATGAAACAGGTGTAGTGGAATGTCTTCAACAAATTGGAAAGGTGGGCTTGAAAAAAAATTTTTCTGAATGACAATAAATTATAATAATTTATTTCATCAGATGAAAATTTGTCTCAAGTGTTATACAGTATCCATAGGTGAAAAGCCAACTTTTATTCTTGCTGAGATAATGTCAACAGCAATTGTCTTGCAAAGAAAAAAATCTCAGATGAAGATATACTGTAATATGTCCTTATCATTGATAGTTATTTTATAAATTCATTATGCTTGAGAAAATGTCCTGCGGACCAGCAAAAATAAATAAAAAAATAAAAAACTTTCACAGCCAGACCGGCGCTGCTGGTCCGCAGCCCACTATACGGGTTGGCGACACACTGGGTTAGGGACCACTATGGTCATATATATATATATATAGTGCAGTCACCAGAGAGTGGGTCTGCGTCTGTGCATTGGCAGACAAGTAGAGCAGGCCGCTGCCCAGCGACGGGGTCCGTGTCTCGATGGACGTGCCCCGATAGGACTTGTATCCCGAGCTGGCACTGAGGTAGGAGTTGGTGGAGCTGCCCACGGAGTCCTGCTTGGAGATGAGGCGTGCGGAGTAGCGCTGCTGGCTGGAGTAGCCGCCGAAGCTGTTGGCCTTGGCCATGGTGCCTGTCCGCTTCTCCGCCGACGACGACGAGGGCGGGGCCAACAGCGGGTCCGAGTCCACACTGGCAACCTGTGCACCAAGTGAGAAAGCACAGCATAGGTGTGACTGACTAAATGAATGAATGTATGAATGAATGAATGAATGAATGAATGAAACGATAACCAGCATCAGGTCATCATCATCCTTAATTGTGCTTCTGTGTTTTGAACAAAAAAAAACAAAAACAAAATACAGTAACATTGACCATGACACGTCTTTATTATTATTGGCAGATAATAAGAACGGGTATGCTTCAAGTGGAATATTGTTACAGCAGCAAACACCCAGCTGGTACCTCGGAAACTAGTTTTTATTACACAAAAAAAAATACAGTGAGACCCCCACATACGGACGCCTCGACATGGGGACAATTCGACACGGGGACATTTATTTTTTTAACAAAAAATCATAAAAAAGACCCAACATGAGGACACTGACTCAACCTGGGGACATTGCAGGATGAAATTCCAAAATACATTTTAGGAAAATTGATTTTTATAAGGCTTAATTGCAAGAAACAGATGTTTCCAACCTAAGATCTATGCAACAAAAATTCTTTGGTACTTTTTCCATCATTTTCCCATCCATTCAGCTAATTGAAAAAAAAATCCCTAAAGCACAGAGNAGAGAGAGAGAGAGAGAGAGAGAGAGAGAGAATATCCACCTTTACTGAGACTCATGGGTTCTAGTAAATTTTGGACAATTTTGCGCAATATTGTGGGGCCCAAAATAACAAACATTTTTTTATTGGAAGTGCTTGCCTTCAAGCAAAAATCCCCTAATTGAAATTACAATTTTAAAAATCTTTCTAGTTCAAATCCCTCAGTTCTCGATCCAAAATTTAGTTTTTAAATTGGAATAATGAAGGGTACTGTATGATTTCAAAGAATTTATTTTTGCATTATTGAAATCTAAATGCTCAACTAGCTCCTGTCATCCTAATATCATAAATCAAATGTTGTTTTAATTGCCATTCTTGATTTTATCACGATCACATCATTTTTTTCTGTTAAATTCTGTCCAGCAATGTTGTGCTTCGCATTGCGAACTCCTGTGATCATTATGTGCATGATCAGGACTGTGTGCTCCTGAGTCACTCAGAAACATACTTTCTTACAATCGTCAATTCTGATTGACCTAGTTTGCCCCTATATACAACCATTTGCGAATATTATTATAGCTTCTAAACCTACAATTTCAGTATTTCAGAAAAAAATCAAGGCAGCTCCATCAGCCAACTAGGGAGCATCCATTATTTGACCACTTGAATTGTCATTTGGGAACAATAAATAAGGAACAAATTAATTGATTTAGCATTGAAATCTATGGGGAAATTGAAATCGGTTAAAAACTTCAATTTCGAACAAATTATATTTGTAATCAAGAGTGTTGAACTTATTGTGATGAATTATCCTTGCACAACAAATGCTAAAACAGCTATAAAACAGCTTTTGTTGTGCGAGTCACATTTTTACTCGAGAGATAAAGTAAAACACACACATTTTTCCTGGCTGTAGAAAAAAAAACAATTGAAGACTCGTATGAATTTCAGTTAGGGAGTACTGTGACTACTGACGAGCGAGCAGATTAAACTGATCAGCCATACGTTGCACGTGTAGTCACCTCTCTTTCAGATAATTTTGCAATATTCGCTTGAATGACATTTTCAAAAGGATAAACAAGTAGTGGTGTAAATGTATTATACTTGAAATTATACGGCGATGTTTTCATAATTGGGGATGAACACTCATGAGCTTCAATATTTAAATTAAGACTCGCGCATTCTACTACTGTACTGTACACCTCCTGTGGCTGTGAGAATGTAGATACATTTCTGGGTATATTTCTGTCAGAAAATGTATGTTGCATACTTACATACTGTACATTCATGCGTACATACATACGTATATACAATAAATGCATACATATGCAGCACGTCACATTGAATGACAACTTGTGGAATGGAATTGAATCGAGGGAAACAGAAAATGCAGTCGGAAGTCGGAACAGACACATACAAGACGGCAACAAGAGTGGTGCGACATCTATAGTGAGAGAGAACAGCATCAAACACAGAGCTGCGGGCAAACCTTGAAGGGTCTCGGTGGCGGCGGATGCGGATGCGCAGGAGTGACACCCTCGGAAGACGACTCAGTCGACTCAGACCATTGCTTGTTGAGGTCTGCAGCTGAGGACGACAACTGCGGGGATACGGACACCTTTTTTTTTGTTCGTTTCGTTTGTGCAGGTGCGGATATATAGAGGAGAAGCAAAACCGGTGCTGGCAACCCCACGGAGGGCGGATGGGTCGACGACGCCGCGCCACAAACGGGGCGGATCAACAACAAAACTCACCTTGTAGTCGTCCAAAGAGCCGCCCGAGTCCTTCTTGAGCACTGCTCTGGTCGGGTCAAAGTGGGGACAAGTCCACGGCACTTCCGGCTGGATCTGGTCCCGGAACTTCATGTCCGGCACTCGGGTCGACTTGGTGCGCTCCACCACGACGCTCGTCCCGCCGGCGTCGATGTTGTGCGCCATGCCGAAGTAGGCGGCGACGCGATGCACCAACATGCGTTGGTACGACGACATGGGCGGGAACTTGTAGCTGCTCCGCCTTTAAAATAAAAAAATAAACCGGGGATTCCAACAAATATTTAGTCAACTATAATCGTCGAGTGCTGAGCAGTTGTCACTATACCAGAAGGATATCTCGTCATCATTTTGCAAGACACCCCCCCCCCCCCCCCTCCTCCAAACGGGACTCGCCCCAATTTGACTCATTTTGATTAAATTTTCATAATCATACAAGTAGATGGGCCTTGCCAAGTTCAACCTCTTACTGCAGTCAAAAATCTCCTTGAGTCAAATTTCTCAAACGAATCCCCAGAGAATTCCCCTATATACAGCCTATAAGACCAGGTTCAGTATCTAAGATATTTTGAACCTCATCCTCTACTGGAATTGCAAAACTTTGGAGAATATCCCAAGTATGCTCCGCCTCCCAGCTCTTCAACTCACGCCTCGTCGCGGGCAAAGCTCACTAGCTCCGCCTCTATCTTCAGCAGGGTTGTCCGATCCTTGGGACTCCGGTGCAAAGTCTCTGCGATGAAGTCTTCCAGCTCCTGGCTGCTCATCCCGGCGAAATCCTTGTACTGCTCCACACTGTTATCTGTTGTGTTGATCATTTCAAATGGGAAAACAACAAACAGTCATCCCACCAACATGATACTATATTGAGTGAACCATCACCCAATTTTTTTTTCTACTTGATCAAAACATTAAAACTAAAGGTGGGCTCCCTTGCGAAATATTCTGTCAAAAAATGTCATACACTTGGATTTGTCCTTGTCCCACAAGACAACCACTCAATGTTTTACTATAGCTCATCTACAACATATGTGTAATACTGTACTGTTACTACTGTACTGTATTGATTCAAGTACCTGATCATGCCCTTGAGCAAGGCATGCACCTTGATTTTGCATCACAAAATATGAGTAAAAATCTATCCCTGTTTAAGAAAAATACAGCAGTCTTTTGTTGACAATATATTCAATAATAAAACACCAAATAGATACAGGTGGTACCTTGTAATTCAACCTTCTGCAATTTGACCATCCCAAAATTTGATGGTAGAATTTGCAATGAGGTTGACTTGCAATTCAACCTCTGCCCTGGAATTCAACCTGCTTTGGCCACTTTTTTTTTGCATTTTGTGATCATATTTCTTAATTTTGTGAAGTGTCTCACAATTTGACTGCTTTGCAATTCAACCCTAGTCCAGCAACGGATTAGGATCAAATTTCAAGGTACCACTTGGACATATATAAATTTTGGATTCAATAAAAGTGGGAAATATGAAGCAATCAAGTAGAAAGCTAAGAAATATGTTGAGCTTTTTGACACGTTTTTAGAAATTCATCCTGCAATTTGAGTACTTTCATGTTTGTCTGAAACGAATTATCTTTTCTCAATGAAATCTTTAGATCACATGCTATTCACACAATTTTCGCAAAACAATCGAAAACCTAGAACTGATCATCTGTTCAATGCGAGGATTCTCTGTACAGTACAGTACATTTATATTCCTGCTTTATCGTATTTTTTTTTTTCAAATGTCGCAACTGAATTCCATACAGTACCACGGGAAAGAGATGGTAACGAATCGTTGATGCTGCCAGCACTTTGGGAGCTGCCCTGGCGGAACTTGTGGCCCCGGAAATTGGATTTGTGTGGTAGCTCGTGCTGGCACCAGGATGAGTGGTTCACCTCTGGCGGCGGACTAGTGGCCTCCCGCATTGCTGCACTCCTCACCAACAATCTCATCTTGCTGTTCTGCTGTGTCGCATCAGGAAACAATCATCAGAATAACACACTACATTTTCCCTCATTATTGTCATCATATGTGCATGAGAGCTGACCTGACTTGTTCATGCTGCACTTGAACTGTACAGTTGCTTAAATTAGTTGAATGACCTGTATATACAGTTGAACCTTGATGAGTCAAACCTCCCCAAGTCAAATACGCCCCTAAGTTGATTGTTTTTTTTTCAGGTCCCCATCTGAATCCCCTTAGAAGCATTGCATAAAAAATCTCCCTAAGTTGAAGTCTTTCCCCTTGCATTTTCATAAGTCGAATTTTCTGTAGCCTGTTGGCCATTATTTTCTTGTCCCACAAAAGAAGAAAACAACAAGAGTACCATATTTACTTGAGTATCTTGCGGACTTGAGTAAGACGCGCACAGGGGTTTTTCACTTGAAAATTTTGCAAAAATCTTATCCCCAAGTAAGACACGCACCCCAATTTTTAGTGAACCTAAAACCATAAAATTTCAAAAATAACAACAAAAAATTTAACTTCAGGGATGAATTGAACAAAAATCTGATGAATTTTCAACTTTTTCAATACAAAAATATTTTCTTTTTATATTTGTTCCAAATTTCTCCATTATAATTAAGTGTAATGCAAACATAACTTCCTAGAACTTCTTGAAAATTTTGTACCCGCTTATGACGTGCACCCCTTTTTTTCTTCTGAAATTTGGGAAAAAGGTGCGCGTGATACGCAAGTAAATATGGTAGAAATACAGTATATGTGTTTTAGAGAAAACGAAAAACTTGATTGGACAAATGAACCCCTGCCTCCAAGTTTGGCATCCTTTCAACTCATTTAAGACGCCATTTAAGCCCCAGAATATAAACATTTACAATTTTGGGCAATTTTTCTAAGTTTATAAAAAGGCTTTGTACTGTAGCTCAAACCTTTATAATTCAAAACCTCCCCAAGTCAAATTTTTTGTTGTTTCCTTGAAACTTGACTGAGAGAGGTTCAACTGTAATACAATGAATACAATGAAATATTTTTACAACACAGTAAGCTGAAATAAATTGTACCCAGAAACCTGTGTTTTAATGGAAATTCCTAAAAACTCTAAAAAAAATTACTCCACATCCTAAAACATATGGACAAAAAGCATGGATTGTAGCAAGTTCTGACTTGAATTTACCTTTCTGTTTTTTATTTTTATTTTCTACAGCAGCTGTGCAAATAGAAAAGGCATCCAGGGATGTAGGAAAAAGGCTGCAAGACTAACACTAAACTCACTCTGGGTTTGGGTCTGGTTCTGAGGCTGTCGCAAGAATGGTGCAGGTGTTGATTGGAGTCAGGGTCGGGGCTTGATGGCTTAGGCGGCTCATTGGCATTGTGACTGTGGGCATCGCAATCCAGACTCATGGCCCTTAATGTGGTCGCCATGGTGGGATATTCTTCTGGCTGGTTCCAGCTCCAGTCCTCTTCATCCACCGTGACACCCCTCTGCAAAAATGCAAAAGATTAAAAACGGCAATTCAGCCCGCTCTGATTTCTCTCACTTCGCCAAGAACGATTTAATTAGAGCCACATCTTTTGCGTCACCGTTTTATTGCCTGTTGATTTTGAAAACAAAATGCGTGGTCTTGTTTTTTGTTGTTGTTGTTGTTTCCTCCTCTTTGGAGTAAACTTGGGAATTAAACTTGTGAAGTAGAACTCGAATGTCATAGTTTTAAGCTTTCAACACATCCATGACGTCCGTGACGTCTTAGTTTTATTAGTCTTCCTATATATTGTATATATACCAGTATATATATATATATATATATATATATAACTGAAGCCAACTTAGAGATTTGATTGTCTTTGCAAGCTTTAAATAGTTGCAGGATATTGAATAAAAAATGCTTCAAGGAGCATACCGTAAGATCTTCGCTATCAAACACATTCTGTTCCAGGTAAACGTTTTTTTTTGTCATAAAATGCATAAAATGGATTTCCATAGGTAGAGAGAGAAATATATGTAAAGGATGAATCAATTGCATTGGATCATCCTGTGAATTACAGGACAGTTGACTATTAGTGAGAATGGGAAGCAGAGTTAGACATGGCAACTTTGTCTGTCTATTTTGTGTATTTTTTTTGTTCACAATATGATAACCTTGTATCATCTTGTACTGTACAGTAACTGAAATCTCAAAATTGAATTATACATATAAATAAAGTTATGCCTGAAAAACTGTAAACTTGATTTATCATCATTCAAATTTTGAACGTTGTTTTGTTTATTCATGGCATTATTGACCCATTGCGTATGCATTTCATGTACATCGGAAAAGTTACGCATGAACATATGCGAGGGTTGTTTCATAAGTCTTTTGCGACTATTTCAAATAGACTCAACACGGTTTGGTTAATAAAAAAAATTGACCGAAACAGTGGCAAAAATCAAGTAGTTCAGACTTGAATTTTCCTGGCGCCACTGTTTTGATCGTATGATTTATCGCGTGAAAAATTGCATTGAAATTGGCGGAGAGTTTCACTGAAGTGTTGCCGCGTGACGAGGTTATGTGGGTAAAAAGAAAAAAATTTTATTGACCAAACCGTGTCAGATCTATTTGAAGCAGTCGCAAAAAATTATCAAACAACCCAAGTGCTATGGATAAAGTAACACAGCTAATTAACCTAAATTAGCATCTTGAAAGTCAGTTTGTATTCCAGTCATCCTTTGCACCAACCCTCTCAGCATTCGCAGAGTGGGTTGTATATATTGAGAAATGCAATTGTGAATTTGAAGCGCGTCAGTGAATGTACTAGTCAAGCCTCTTGTTCTTCGAAAAATTGCGTCAATACTGTATACTTTCCTAATCCAGAATAAAAGAAACACTGCTGTGCGTAACTTTTCCGATGTACATGACATGCATGCGCAATGAGTCAATAATGCCATGAATAAACAAAACAACGTTCAAAATTTGAATGATGATAAATCAAGTTTACAGTTTTTCAGGCACAACTTTATTTATACGTAATTTAATTTTGAGATTTCAGTTACTGTACAGTACAAGATGATACAAGGTTATCATATTGTGAACACAAAAAAAAATACACAAAATAGACAGACAAAGTTGCCATGTCTAACTCTGCTTCCCATCCTCAGCAATATTCAACTGTCCTGTAATTCACAGGATGATCCAATGCAATTGATTCATCCTTTTACATATCTTTCTCTCTCTACCTCTGGAAATCCATTCTATGCATTTTATGACAAAAAAAACGTTTACCTGGAACAGAATGTGTTTGATAAAAGAAACACTGCTGTCCTCATTAAAATGTGACTGAAATCAAAGACCAATATGTGACGAAACTGGACCTGTTTTATGAGGCCCTTCTGGTGGAGACTCCTGTTGGGAGGATGTGATCTGCCTGGGCTCATTACTCTGGAAGATGGCGGCGTTGATGAGGACTGCATGCCAATGGACTGCTGGTGCTGCACCAATGGCGACGGGTCACGTGGACTGGAAGGCGGAGACTGTCCTGCTTGCACCACAATGCTTGGAACTGAATACAAGAAATAAAATCAATATAATAATCTAGATGATTCTTTTCTTTTGTGTGTGCCTATAAGATGTTTTGCCACAATTTTTTACCCCAGTGCTTTGAACTGAATACAGTACAATATAATGAATATTGATATAATCAATTACAACAGTGCTTGGGACTGGATACAAAAAGGAAAAAAAATGTTTACTGAAGCTGAGGTAAAATGATCCAATCAAAGGATGTCACATGAAGTATATTCAGAACTTGGCGCAAATTTTGATGACAACTTATTAGAAATGTGAATGCATCATAAATAAAAACTTCCAATTTTTTTACGTTTTTGAGAAGACGCAAATTTTTAAGCAGAATTTAAGCAAAAATTTTAATTGTAGTAGCCATTCGAGAGACCTTATTAGAATCAGAATAAGGATATAATACTGTACAGTATTATATTCATCCATAAAATGATAGTCCAACATGGAACAGCACTCATAACTCATAAGGCATTGAAAAGTTGACTTAGCAAACCTAATTCACTTCAGTTCGTCAATAAAAAAAAATTATAACCATAACCTGAATTTTTGGTAGACTTCAATGGAGAAAACAATTAACCTAATTTCCCCCCCAGGGAATCATCAGGTAAGGGACATAGTGAAAAGATTTCCTTCTTTCGTTCACAGCTTACTTTTTTTCATTTAACATGAAGTTTGATCAATTTGCATTTTCATGAGATCATTCCATGCGAATCGAAATATCCGGATCACATTTTTACACATGTTCACAATAGTGATTGCCTCAATTATATCACAGAAGGACATGCCATTTTTACTTGTACTGTAATTACATTCGCTGAACAAAGCCAAATACTGCAGAATTTACAATAAATTCCGCAAGTACTGTAGTAACTAGGTGGTGTTTACGATTAAATTTTTCATACTTTGCCCGTCTCCATGGAAACATTGATCTTGCAAAAAACATTGAAATAATTTGCAATTTTTAACTGATGTCGAGCACAGACTTGAGGGACAATTTTCCAGTACTATACAATATTGTGCAAGACCGTGCCCTTACTTGAAATAAATTTATTGCAAATCAAAGACTCCATGGAATTAAACCACTTTTTCTTGCATGGCATCATTGGCATCTGAAGTGGAATAATATTTGGCGAAATTCTTAAATTTCAAAAACAAAAATAAAATTGGCCGTCTTTTTCCTCTATATGAATGTTGGTCGGTCATACACAGAAATATGCTCGTATTTAAATTCAAGCTTGTATAAAATTATCCGTACACTCATTCAGACGGACATTCATTAAAAAAAAAGAAACTTCGACACGAATATCACTTTTTTTTACCACCATGATCAACAGCTATACCGATATACGAGTATTATCGTTAATATTGTACTGTATATCAGGGCTTTGTATGATTGGCTCAAAACTTGGAGCGCATATTTTATATAAAATCTTTCCTCTATAGTCTATAAAATGGCTTCCTACATAGAGCAGGATTGCTTTGGATCGCCTTAATCTTTAGAATAATAATTGTGAAAATTTTAGTAACATTTTTAAATTGGTAGTAAATCTCTGGTAAACCAAACCCTTGGCTAACAGACATGTTGAATAATACAAAAATAACGGATGCTCAACCGCAAAAATGTCTTGGTTAACAAACCCAAATCTTGTGAGCAAACTTATGCTACGTATATGCGGGGTATATAATTCAAGGGCAAAATTTGTGAAACTGCTCTGATATGCAATGTCTGGCTCACAACACTTTAATGATAATATGAGATTGATCCTGCGCTTCTCCGTTTCTAACTGTTTGGTGACTGTATTGTTGTTTGTGTACATTAGTATATTTGTACAATGAGACCCCCACATGCGGACACCTTGACATGCAGACAATTTGACATAGAGACACTTATTTCCCCATAAAAATTAATAAAAAAAGGCCCAACAAGGACACTGACTCAACATAGGGACGTTTTTGTGATAAATTTGCAAATAAGTTTCAGGCCAAATTACAAGAAACACATACAGTATTTCCAATCCTAAAATTGATGTAACAATTTTTATTTTCATGGAATTACGGTGAGTATTTTGTCCATAAAGCACCAATTAAAAATTATACAATGTAAGTCTAAGGGAAAATGAGACTCAACTTAGGGGCATTTTGACTTAGGGAAACTCTTGATATGCACCAATTATGTCTGCATCTTGGGGTCTCACTGTAGTATAAGTAGAGCGTTTTCCTCATTTCATTTTTGACTTGGGTGACACAAACAGATTAATTTTTCCCATTTGATTCTACCGGGAAACTAAGTTTGGTTGAGAAACTTCTTTTCAAAATAGACTAGGGGTTAATTAATAGAAGGGTAAATGGTACTAAAAGTGATATCTGACCCATCCCGTCACCCACAGGCATAATGCGTGCATCATAGAGGAAAATTGAGTCACAAAACTTGTTACGTCCATTTTTAAATTTATAAATACAGGTCAAGTTGACCATTTTTTAAGGCAATATACATTTGAACTTCTCTGAGGCATACAGTATTTGATGGAAATAAAAAAACTTGAAATACGGGATGAAACGTGTGTGTTATTCATCAAATAAAATTATTTTCTGGCATAAATTATTGAAATTGTTCATCCATCTCAAAGATCATTCACACGCAGGAAATAAAATCCATCGTGATTTGCATTAAGATAATAATTATCTGTTTCTCATTGGTTTAACGGAAAAATTATTCTAAAATTGTGCCCCGCCAGTTCGATACAGTAGAACCTTGTTACAGTGAAACTCTTTATAACGTATCATTGCTTACAACAATTTTTTTTTGTGTACCTGTCCAATAGCCCCAATGCTACAGGTATTTAAATTACGTTTCAATAATTTTTCATTAATAATAACAAAAATTTTTGTCAGCGTCTGAAACACTTCGTATTGCAACGAGATTTTATTAAAGACGGAATTTATCTACAATAACGATCTCGTCTAAAACGATTTTTTCTATAAAACGCATGTTCTGCGGGTCTTGCATCAGCTGGGTTGACTACCCATGTTTTAGGGTTCCCTACAAGGAATTGTTTTGTGTTCCCTTGAGTTTCGTTGTATAGAGAGAATACACATGACCTGACACAAAGACCATCGGAAATTCATGACTCACTGAATGGACATCATAGCCAACAAAATTCAAGTTAGGGAGGTTTAAAATGCATTGCTCTTTAGGGAATATGGCCATGCAGCATGGATTCATTGGACATTTTTACTGGATTACACAAATTCTTTCTTTTATACTGGGAGAGCTGAAGGTTTGACTAGAAGACATTCAAGTACAGTATACAGTTGAGCTTTGCTAAGTTGAACCTCTCTAAGTCAAATATCTCTCTAACTAAAAATTTTTTTCAAGTCCCTGTCTGGATTCCTTCTGAAAACAATGCATCACAAACCTCCCTAACTCAAAGTTTTTTTCTCTCAAACCCATGTGAGTCAAATTTTCTGAGGTCTTTTGGTTATTATTTCCTTGAAATATGAAAGAGAAAATAAATAAAAAAAATGATGGTACGCAGCTGTAAACTCATTAAGAAGCAGCAAGTTAAGGCCCAGAATATCCTCATATACAATTTCCCATAATTTATTTTCTTGCTTTTCCTCACGGCAGAAATGTTTGTTTCCTTCACTCAAAACCTCAAAAACTCCCCAAGTTGTTAAAAGGACAGATTGTACAAGAAAAATAAGAAAACGTCCGGTAAAATGAAAATAAAAACTTTGAAAAATGTCCAATCATTTTTCGGGAAGCCTTTCTTCCATGCGCCTCCATAATGGATACGTGACTAGCAAAAAGGATCTTCGGGAATAGAATTCAAGTTTTGAAGCAATGGATTGCTAGGTTAGCCATCCCTGCTATACCAGCCATGAAAATACAGTCAACCCCTGTCTAACGGACTTGATTTGGGCAAGGGACAAGTCTGTTAGACAAAAAGTCCTTTACACAAATTCAATTACATAACAAATTAAAAATTTCAATTTTAAACACTAATTTTAAACCAAAAGAAGTCTGTTTGGTGGATTTTGTCCATTGGGCAGGAGGAAAAACTGCTTGCAGAGCTGTTCTGTTCAGCGAAAATCCCTTACACTGGAGGTATGTTAGGCAGGGGGCCACTGTACTATCTTAGTTTGAGAATGCAAGTTTTTGACAGTGAATTTAAACCAGATATTTGCCAGACAGAAGATAAATAAATTCGTGATGCCTCAAATGCAAGAGGATTTTACGTCCAAGTATTTCGGGGTATCATTGTTATATAGTATAGTTAACTCTCATCTCAACTGAAAGGTAACCTCCCTAAGCCAACTTTTTTTTTTCAATAAATCCCTGAAGAAATTCGACTTGAAGAGGTTCAACTGTATATATGAAAATAATTGACACTCACTCTCCAGCTTGCTCCCACTGTCAATCGGGCAGGCGTTCACTTGGTCCTCCTGATCGCACACCTGCTTCACATCACATTTGATGGACTGATGATGACTTTGCTGGGGCATGTCCTGCATGAGCTCCACCTCTGTCATGACACCCACGGCACTGACTCACTACATGTACACATCATATACCGCGAATAATGTGCGCGTATAGTTAATCATCCACCACCACCACCACCACCACAGCAGACACCGCGCGAATCACGAGACACGCGAGCAATAATACGAACGTTACAATAATGAAAGAAAAATGTCGGAGAATGATTCATTATCAGACATCAGGTGTCAATAAATAAATGAATGTATCTTTAGCAAAAGAAACGCTTGCAAGTCGGTTTGTTTTCTTCCTGTTCATCATCCTCGCTGTTGGGAGATTTTCTATATAAGAATTTAAGTTATTTACTGTAGAATCAGAGAGTTTTATACAGTCATCACCGATCATTTTTACACACACATTATGTTTAGCGAAGGTCGATAACGTCAACAAATGTAATGTAGTGACTGAAAACATATGATGTTGCGATTCGAGAATGCATTTATTTACAATTAATACTTTGGGCCAGATACCATTATTTGACTCATGAAAATGCTTCCAACACGAATAATGTCTTTAAAATCTCCAACAAATTTTGGACACTCTGCGCGATATTTTCACGCGATCTTTATCGTCACATTCTCCAGCATTCAGTGCTTTATGATTCACTCGCACGGATCTCGATTTTCGCATTGTCCTGCAAAAGAAAATCAGCAATGAAAAATCATCATCATAAACTTGAAAACATGCAATTTTTTCTGTTTCAAAAGAAAGCCCATTTAAATCGACGGATCAACTTTAAGTTAAACACATATACATTCTGTAGGGCATAGGCCCAGCACAAATATATAGCGCAGTATATAGCAGAAACCTATACGTCTTGATCCGGTACGTGAATTGATTTTTCATTGACTTCAACATACTGGTATCGAATATATTTAAAAAATAATAAAACGCGACCTATATATTCTATTTTTAATTCCATTTTAAATCAGGATAAGATTTAATCCCTGATATAAGTATAGAAGGTAAAATGGGCAAATTTCAGTATCATGAGCGAATGATATAAATGCTGTTGCACATCATGTTCTCACTCCTTGGAAGACGTTGAACATACAGTACATCGCAAAGCACTTATTCGCATAGAAAAAAATAATATATCTCAATACTGATCGACAAAATCATGTATTTATGCATTCGCTTCCCAATCAATATGGCTGCATCATTTAGAATATCATTTTTCAATCCCCTAGAAACTGCTGTGCGATAAAAAATAAAATAAACCGCACCGAGGGGCTCAGATTTTCATGCTAAATACTTTTTATTTTCAAAGAAATGCTAAAATTTACGTACGCGTGGGGTTTCCCCGCAGCTGGGTTTTTTTTCACGGTCTCTCGCGGCATCTGCAGTATATACGCATTACACACAGAGGTTTGTGTTTTAATATTGTTCCTTGTCCCCCGCCAAAATTATATGCAGCATTTTGTCCAAAGCAAAAAGCGGCATAGGTTAAACTTAAACAGAAAATGCAGAGCACTTCTTCACTAGCAAGTACTGTAATACTGCATATTCACTGTATAAATATATATACAGTATATACTGTATTATATATATATATATTTTTTTTTGTATGCTGTAGATATATTGTACAGTAATATGTATACTGTGCAGTGACCATAGTTTCAGCTTGTACAGATTATAAAATAAAAGACGTAAAAATATGATGTTTTTTTTGGGTCCAGATTTCTGATTCTTCTATACTCTTTAAATGATATTCACGTACTGTAGTACAGTATATATATGGAACGAAAATAATTTTCTGCAATACTTCATCGTACAGAATCATGTCCCAGACGGCGAAACTAATCATCAGATGTGGAACCAAGATATTTTCCTTTCCAGTCGTTAAAAGGAAAAAAAAAATCGAACCTGGTTTCGCGTGAGATTATTATCAAACCAAATTTTTTTCGTATTGAATGAAGGGGGAATGTGTTGTCACGTATCTCTACACAAAATAGATCACAATTCGTTTGATATACAGTGGTTGCAGTTTTCTCGGTTAAGTAGTACATTTATTAAAGGAGCATATACTGGTATTGGGTTGATCAATAACCTTATTTATGCAAATACTGTATAAAAAACATTAGTGACGAGCTTATTTCGTCGGATAGATTTAGGTACAGTATTAGGTATATGTGGAATGTTTTTTTTACATAAGTATAAATGCCGAACGATTTCCATGCGATGAATACATTTATTATATCTGTACTGTATTTTACTTTAGTAACTTGGAAGAATAATTTGTCGCTGCTGTTTTTCGATTCGACAATAAGTATAACATCCTCAAAATTTGATGGTTTAAATTATTCAAAATATTACTTTGTTCCTATATAATAACTTCAATATGTGGCACGCTGCTGCATCATTATCGTGTATATGAACTCACATGAATGATTAGATCGTGGATTAACTTTTTTCTTTCCATCTGACCAGGAAATATTTTGGCCAAGTTATCATCAAATCGCACTTTATTTTTTTAATGAAGACTGAGCATATTTTCCAGCACCAAAACGGCGCCTAAAACGAATAGTCAAAACCATGGTACAGTACTGCGTACACAGTCTGCCATCAGTCACAGACATCACGCTTTTGTCCTATATCTTCCGTAACTATACTCACCGATTCAACCTGAGAAAGATATTAATGTTTTAGGCAGCAAACCCAGCGATGTAACCTTTCCAGGTCCGGGGAAGATCAAATTCTGCAACGCAGTGCCAACGAATTATGGTTGAATCATACCTCAGTATAGTCGACCTGCTGTTCACGTGGGTTTGTGGAATTTTGATTAAAAATGCGGATCACATTCTGACAAATGCTATCGGAATAAAAATTGAAATGGCATATACAATTGAGCTGAAGAAGCAATCGTTGAGCAGCAGAAAAAAAATTCTATTGACGTATTCTTCAAAAGGTTTTTTGTAAAAGGGAGCTTTCTCTTCTTCAATCAAAAGATGAAGCGCACATTCCGCAGATTTTTTGGTCTATTCTACAGAAAACTCAATTGAAGTGCAATTAATTTCAGGCGTTGCCGCCATTAATTACCGATCAATTCCGCCACTTCCATCAACAAACTCAAGACAATGAGAATGTGTTGGCTGTTGATGCAAAGGGCAGAATTACCTTGGAAAACCTGGAGGCAATGCTTATCAGTAGTGCTGTGTCAATTTCAAGGATCCCGAAGGTAAAGATAATGGGTGGCATTAAAAAAAACTGCAAGATGGACACGTCAATTTTTTTTAGCAAAGAGCAGAAAGCTCCCAAGGTAAATTTTTCAAAAAAATTGACAAAATTACATCAAACAGAGCTGGAATTTTATGTGTTTTTAAGAACGGTTTTAATGAGCAGTAATTGTTTTTCAGTTCAATTGTATGCCGTTTCAATTTTTTTCAACTTTTATTAGACCCCTCTTATAATGAGAATGGTTAATCCACACTTTCAGCAGGATTCCTTCTGATCAGTCGATTTATAGCATGCTTTGAGGATAATCGGGGACAAAAATTCTAGAGAACTGCACAGGGTATCATGGATAGACTTCTGGAATACTTCAATGCTGCTGAGCTTATGTCTCACAATTCTGGGACACGAATAACCCATCACTAAAAACATTATCTTTGCAAATAAAATCTGAACAAAAATTGGCTCAAGACATCATTGAAAATTTAACTTGAATGCTTTCTTGAATTTCCCAACTTTTTTTTTAAACCAAATTCAGCGAGAGAAGGTTCGAGTCTTACACGTACTAAGTACTGAATTGCACAGCATAAACAAACGTCCTTTTTAGGAATATTGATGAAAATGATATTGTTGTCGAGATTCCACCAGTACACCTTTAATCCTTCTCACAGAACGAAGCCTTTCTGATCCTGATGGATCAACTTCTCAACGTGAATTTCATATTCCTTGAGAAGCCAAGATAATATCCAGGAAGCATCTTCACGATGAAAACTCCATTTCATCAATCTGCACACCAAGGGAGCTGTCGCGAGGGAATCGTTAATGAAGTAAAATAAACCAAACAGGAAATCAATGCCGGGTTTTTCTTCACATGCAAGTGTTCCGCATTCAAAAAATGTCAAAACAATTCCATTTCACAAAATACAACTGAAATCATTCCCATTGCAGGAGACTGCAGTGTGCTACGTATAATAAGGCCACAAGGGAATCAAATAATTTCACAAATCACCATGCAAAGAAAAGAAAAAAACAAGTTGTACATAGGCAAAAATTGCAATTGACATAAAAGGATACAAATTTTGATTCCACCACAAGACAGGAATAAATCCTTGGAACACTCTTCAGAGTGTTCCAAGGATCTTCTTCAACAATCCAATGCCAATTTATTTTTCTAAAATATTCTCTGGAGAGAATTTTGTTGAAGAAATTGTTCATGTGAGAATAGACCTGCAAACCTCATCCGCAAAGAACTGTTCTCGATACTGAAGCCTGAGTCTTAATAATGCACACCCATGAAAATTAGAATACAGTATTGTGCAAATATAATGAACTTTCTGTCGCCCATAAGCTCACAATGCTCTTCATTCAGTGCTATTGCTCCAGGATGACTCAAGTTTTCTGCTGATTCATTACATTTTTCAAGATAGGTTTGGGGAAAACTGTTGAAACATAACAGCATGAGATGAAAACCAATCATTCAAAAAAAAATAACCCCAAAGATAATGAGCCAATAGAGAGATACTGTTGGTAGGATATGTGTACCCAGCTGAAAGAGACATGATGGAATGGAGGGACGTGAGGATTTGGGATATTTCTCAGTTCAAGAACATGGCATCAGCTCAAGGTGAATATCTCCACAAATTCTGGAATTATTTGCCGTGTTGCAAGAAGAAAAAAACCTATGATTATTGGTTCTGACTTTGACTGTAGCATTACAGTGAAGGAATCTTACGCTCATATCAATGTTTGCTAGAATCCCTTTAACTGATGTTGCAAAGAATGGGATAGACAAAAACATCAGTACTCTAATGTTTGCTAGAATCCCTTTAACTGATGTTGCAAAAAATGGGATGCATAACAGGAATGGTCAGCATTGTCTCTTCAGCTAGAAAAATTTTTGTTTTGTTGTGCTAGACCTTATCCATGAGTTTCACAGAAGCATCATTCATTGCTGCTCAATAGTTACAACTGGTACTGTTGGTTGGGGAAAATGTGTTATTGATCTGCGTCACTGCATTGACCTTCACTACAAAGAGGAGCATTTTGTTTCCCATTTAATGACAGGAAATAAGCCTCCATCCTTGTTTGCAAATGACATGCGGATGAAGGCACCAGGAGTAGGGGTAGAATAGATAGCTAGAGCCATGTTGTTTGTTCAATGCTGGAGTGGTGGGTGAGTCACTACTGTTCTGCGGAAGGAATTTCCTTCGCAGCTCATAAATGGCTGTGAATCATCCAGTGCTGCTGGAAAGTACAGTATCTTCCTTTTGGATATTGGTTGAAATCAGAGTTCGCTGCGTAAAAAAAGCATACATGTCATTAGAGTGAATTTTTATGTGGGGTATGCGTGAAGGACTTCAATCTTCCCAGTCCTTGGGGTTTTGAGCTTCTGAAAGCTATTCATGCATAGAACGTTAACAATACAAATTACTAATAAAAACCTTTGATCCAATGTATTTTAGCCACAAAAACACTAATTCCATGTAGAGCTCTAAAATTGCAATTTGTAGTCAAATGGAAAATTTTAAAGGAATGAATAATTCCAAAGATGACTGTGCTTGCGCTTGAGATTTCAGTTTACAATCCTACCAATGCACGTTAGTTCGTGTGATGCATCCGTAATTGGGTGATGTTCATTCGATTGGAAATGTTGAGGTCAACTAATATTCCGTAATTTGTCCTTGAATGTTGATAACCTTGGACTGTGCACTGCATGGTGCGTTTGCTGAAAAACATGCTCTGAACATCAATGAAAGTACAGTATCTTACAGTGACCCTTTCGATTGACGCATAACGAATGTTTTGCTTTTTCCGTTTTTCAGCTCGGAAATTTCAGAAAGCCAGTTTGAGGACACCAATGAAACCTCTTTGCATATTCAAAGAAAGTCATCTTTGAAGAGGCATTCGACACAAGAGGTACTTTATTTTAAATTTTTGATAATATGGTAATGCAGTTAACCCTCACCATCTGTGCAGCCTTATTTTGGCAGTTCAGCAAGGGGCATGCACCTTTCCCCAAAAACTGGGGGAAGAAAAATAAGAAGGGAAGGTTTTTCTCTCAGCAGAACGGGGGAAAACCGGGAAGAACTACGGGTGGGAGCTTGTTTTGGGGGTACAGAAACCATGGCAGCCTATGAGGTTTTGTCATGCCTTCAAATTAGGCCAATTTGTTTGTGACAAAATCTTGGTGGGAACTGAGGATAGTGGTTTATCATGGGGTAGTTTAACAGGGTTTGACTGTATTCCACTCTCAGCGAAGAAAACATTTATTTTGAAGTGTGCATGAAGTGCTTGTGCTAATCTTTTCAGAAGTGGTTGATTTACATGAAGGTATTTTTCGTTCAGTTCCATTCACACTTTCCAGGTTAGTAACTGTGTTCCAAGGATTTATTCCTGGCTTGCGGTGTAGACAAGGTATCCATCCTTCCAAGTCAATTGCGATTTTGCCAATAAGTAACAAAACTTTTTCAGGCATCTTCAGCAAATATGCTAGAAGCTATAAAAAATTATTTCCTGACACGGACAAAAAAAGTAACACATAGAAAATAATAATTTCCGTCAATGCTCACTCTCAATGCAGCGTGAAGCAAAACACGCAGAGAGGGTGTTTTTGCATCGTCGATATCGTCGTCGAGAGCATTGTCCAAACTTAGACGTATCTTCTTGGCAGACTTGCGTCCTTTTGCTCCGTTGTGATGAGTCTTGCTTGGAGGCATAATCTTTGGTTTCTGTAGTTTTAGTGTCCTAGAACACAAAAGGTTGACGAGAACTGAAGAACAGAAAGTAAGAAATAACTGCGTTCGACTCACTTCAATATCAGAAACATCACTCTCATCAAACTCGTCCGCAGCTACAAAAACCCGCTCTCCAACTCCTTCCGCTTCTTCTTCTTCTTCCTCGTCCGTTGCTTCTGCTTCCGACTCACTTTCTCTCTCCTCCTCGTCGGTCACGTATTCCACGTCTTCTTCCACAGCTTCGACTTCAAGGGCTTTGTCAAACGCAGCTTGTGGGAAGTTGTAAATGCCTCCGTACTTCAAAAAAAGGTAAAAGCTGACAAAACACCCAGCTCATAACATTTTTCTCGATCATACCACTCCTTTGCGCAATCTCTCGAGTAGTTCTTTCTCAATTGCGTTGTCCAATTTGGCTGCGATCAGCGCTTTTTCCTCACGTCGTCGCTCGCGCCTTTCAATCTTCCTTTGTAGTGGAACAATCTTCTTCCTATGATTAACGAGACAAACATAATTCTTCGGGTGCTCACATAAAATCGCACAGACAGTTTCACAAAAAACGCATGAATGAATTTTCACCTTTCCCGCCTTTGAAATTGAAACCACAGAAATAAAAAGATTTAGTACTCACTGTCGCGTAAGTTTCAACTTCCGAACCCGTTGGAGGTATTTCGAGATAGTTCGAAATCTCTGCCGACACTTACTGAGTATGAAACCCGGCCAAAATACCAGATTTTCATTTATCTGTGTGAGCGCTTTATCGAAATTTCGAGAAAGTCGAACCTTTTCCCATTGGCGAGCTGGGTAATGAGTTCTGCAAAATAATACAGCATTTAGTTTCTTCAGAGCATGCCGCTTTCGTTTTAATCGCAGGAAAACGAACCTCTCCGCAGTTTTCATGTAGAGATAGACCATGCCCTCCTCTTCTCTTACTGTCGCATACTGACTATTGGCCAAGGGACAACTTTTTCTTGAGCAAAGCCCGGTGAGGTTCCACTCATTGCGACACAATTTCGTGGTCGTCGTGCTGTGAAAAAAATC